ACCTGATTTCTGTTTTTTGAAACTTGTTGAGACTTGTTTTGTGACCTGCCATGTGATATGTGCTATTGATAGGAATGTGCATTCTGCAGCTGCTGGATGGAATATTCTGTAGATGTTTGTTAGTCCAGTTGATCTAGGGTATAATTTAACTCTGATGTTTGTTGATTTTCTGTGTGATCTGTCCATTTCTGAAAGTGGGGTGTTAAAAGTCCCCTACTATTATTGTATTGGAGTCTATCTCTTCCTTTCGGTCTATTAATTTTTGCTTTATGTATAGGGATGCTCCAATATTGGGTGCATAAATATTACAATTATTATTTTCACTCATTAGATTGAACCTTTTATCTTATGATAAGCTTCTTTATCTCTTTTTACTGCTTTTAACTTGAAATCTATTTTATCTGATATAACTATGGTTATTCCTGCTTTCTTTTGGGTTATTTGCAAGAAATATCTTTTTCTATACATTCACTTTCAGTCTGTGTGTGTTGTAAGGCCACCACAAAATACACTAAACACCAGAGGTAAAGGAAAGGGTTTATTGATGGGGGAGGGCAGAAAGGGGGCCTTGGTTGGAAAACAGACCTTGTTATAGACTTGCAGGGGTGAGGGGATGGGAACAGCAAATCCCGTTAGAGTGGGGGTGTGGCTGCCACTTATTATTGGGCCATTCGGTCACCTGACTCCTGGTAAGCCAGGCTGGGTTCTGGAGAAGCCAAAATGGCGTCCAGGGCTCAAGATGGCGCCTTTAGATAAGACGACACCATTTCACTAACATTCCCTTCTTTTGTTTTTGACAAAGCAAGTGTTTTATGGGATTACATTGGCCCCAAAAGTCCAGGAAGGGTAGAGGGATGATGATCCGTCTTCTGGAGATACTTCCTGGTGACAAGAGTCACTCTCCACTGGTGGGATGACATCTCAAGTTGCGATCACTAGGTGGGGAGCCGAGTATATCCCTGTAGTGGCATTTGGTTGATTGCCTGTTTGGTGAAGGTTTTGGTTTGTTCTGTTATCACCTCCTATAAACACTTAAACAGACAAAGTAGTATAAAAGCCAGGGTGAGAATAGCAGCCAATCGTCCTAGGAGTGGCATTACCAAAGTAGTAAGGGGACTCCATAGGGAGGAAGAGAAGAGAGAATCTCTGGACCCTAGGGCAGAGTGTTTAATAGATGTGGCAATTTGTTGGAGCTTTTTAACATTTCGCTCTACCTGGCCCAGTTGATTAACATAATAACAGCATTGTTCTCTCTGAAAATCACAAGTTCCCCCCTTTTCAGCTGTTAGAAGGTCCAATATCTGTTTTGTAGCTCTATGTCTGCCAGTGAGGTGATCTGATTTTGGAGGCCCGAATGGTGTCTGCTGAAATTTCAGTGGACCTGGTGACCTCCTCTCATGGTTGTTGGAGTTGCTTTTGGAACTGGTTAATAGATATAACACTGTGGCCGGCGCCGCGGCTCACTAGGCTAATCCTCCACCTTGCGGCGCCGGCACACCAGGTTCTAGTTCTGGTTGGGGCGCCGGATTCTGTCCCAGTTGCCCCTCTTCCAGGCCAGCTCTCTGCTGTGGCCAGGGAGTGCAGTGGAGGATGGCCCAGGTGCTTGGGCCCTGCACCCCATGGGAGACCAGGAGAAGTACCTGGCTCCTGCCATCGGATCAGTGCGGTGCGCCGGCCACAGCGCGCCGGCCGCGGCGGCCATTGGAGGGTGAACCAATGGCAAAGGAAGACCTTTCTCTCTGTCTCTCTCTCTCACTGTCCACTCTGCCTGTCAAAAAAAAAAAAAAATAGATATAACACTGTGGCCTAGAGCAGTTCCTGAGACCACCAACAAAGAGAAGGAAGCTGCAGAGCTGACTCCAGCCAAGACTGGGAGAAAGATTGCTGCTTTCTTGTGAGTTAAGGATTAATCTGTAAAAGGAATTCCGAGTAGTCATAATGTTAGATGAGGGGAAAGGATCACCGATACACATGGACCCGGTGTAGAACTTTTGATCCAAGTGTATAGGGTATGCTTACAGAGAAATGAAGTTCCAAGTGGGCTACAGAAGGAAACTGTGGAAGTGACGGGTATATTAATAAACACAGGCGATGTTATGCGGCAAAAACCCATTAGGTTGTTCTGTGTTCCGACACATTGCATCCTGTCCTCCAGAATGCAGAGGAAGATGACTGATGATCTTCTGAGGATTGGGGGTACAGGAGTTTGTACGAGCAGAAACATTAGTGAGTAAGGTATCTGCAATGGTAGGTTTCTGAAGGGGAGTGCATATAAAGCATTGCTGTTGGTAAAGGGCTGAGGGTAAAGTAGAATTGGGTGGTTGATAAAGTAGGGTGAGAGCCAGATTAATGAGCTGTAGCCACGTTAAGGGAGGTCTGGCTGGGTTAATTAGCTGGGACAGGTGTTTAGAGGACTCCTTTACCATATCACCTACCACATCCATGGGAGCTGTTGGGAGCTGAGTGTAGGCCCTGTTGGAGCCCATAAACAAAGTGACAGATCCCTCAGTTCCATCTTGCCAGACTTGAAGGTACAGGTCAGTTATAGTGAAGGCTAAAAGGCGTTGAACTCGGTCTTCTTCTGCCTGATGCATCCAAGATTGAATGTTTTTATTTCAGGACAAGACCTTAGAGAATTGTTTTCCTGGAAGGCCGTATCTATGGTCAATATAGTAGTATGCACAGGACCATGATGTGCAACCATTCCAGTAAGCATCGCCACATGATCCTATGTTCGTTCTCTTTAGTTAGGCAGAGATAATATGGATGCACTTCAGATTGGGATAAGAGATATCTAGTCCAGTCGTAACAACTATGTTTGCAGGCTGAGCGGAATCGAGGTACAGGTGATAGGACTTGCACAGCCGGTGATGGGGCAGAAGGTCGCATTAAGTACTTTAGCAGGCGTAGAAGTGGTGTAAATCTGAAATTGCCACATGTAATGTGTTCCTGGGGCTAGTGCAGATGTAGGATAGACACGAAGGAGCAGAAGGGAGGTGATTATCAGGAAACTCATGGTGGTGTTATAGAAGAGGGAGGGAGACAGTAAGAGAAGGTATGGAAAAGTGTAGATCTCAAAGGGAGTGAAGTCTGAGGAGGTTTTCTGGAGGTGTCCACGAGGAGCCAGGGAAAGGGGGTGGGGTGGATGTGTAAGGAGTGTGTTTGATACTCTTCCCACAGAAGTTGCAGGAAGAGCTGGCAGTGGTACAAGAGGGGGTCAGTACTTACCCAGTGTTGGAAATGGTGGGTGGCTGGGTTGTCACCGTTTCTCGGAGGGGGGGTTCATTAAGCACAGAAGGGTCTGAGTTTTAGGGCGCTGTTGGTGATAGAACTTGAGTCTGGGCAAACTTGGCTGGGAGTGGCCCTGTGGGAGTAACTGTATGATGAGGGGGAGGGGAACACTTAAGGTGGGTGAGGTGGACCCCATGGGGGATTCCTTGTAACTTTGCTGCTGCAGGAGTAGTGAGAATAACCTGGTAAGGTCTGGTCCATTCAGCCTGAAGTTTGGTGGGAGTAGAGGGCAAGGATAAGTGTGAAGATTGTCTTGTCTCCCATTGTAGTATGAGGGACACTATCTGAGGTGGCCGGACCAGCTGCAGCAGGGCAGTAGGTGGCCATATATTTCCATAACTCTGTTTGGAGATATCTGAGGAGAGGTGAAGGTAAATGGGGTGGCAAGAGTGGAGATTGAGAGGTTATAGTCAGAGGAACCAGGGGATGTCCATACATGAGTTCAAAGGATGGAATATTGAGAGGTTTTTTGGAAGGGCCCTCATACGGAGCAGGGCCAGTGGGAGTAGTGTAGTCCGGGCCAAGCGGAGCTCAAGGGAGAGTTGGGTGAGAGCATTGTCTAGTGAATGGTTTGCTCTTCCTACTGTTGCTAAGGTAGGGGATGCTGGTAAGGGATGTGGAGATGCCAGGGGACGTTAAGCACTTTGGTAAGTGGCTGAGTTACCCGCGATGTAAATTCAGGCCATTGTCTGTCTGGAGGGACCCGGGGACCCTGAAGCAGGGATTAATCTCCTGAAGTAGCATGTTGGAAACTGTTAGTGCTGCTTTGTTAGTAGTTGGGAAAGCCTCGACCCACCCAGAGAAGGTATTTACCAGTACCAAGAGCTATTGAAAATGCCACACTCTGGGCATATGGGTGACATCAGCCTGCCAGTCCGAAGCCAGCAGGTGTCCTCTGGCTTGATGGGAGGGGAAGGGGGGAGGACAGAGGTTAGATTTAGGGTCTGGTTTTTGACATACAGAACAAGAAGACGTGAGTTGTTGGAAATATTTGGTATCTTCTGGTGAGAGAAGAAGAGATTGTTTGATAAACGATAATAAAGAAGAAATGTTGGGATGAAACAAAAGGTGGAGATAGAATAAGATAGCCTGAGTGGAGGGCTGTTGAGATGGTTGGTCTTGAGGGCCATTTGTTAGTGTGGCAGATGGAGTGGAAAACGAGCTGGAAGAAGAGTGCTGTGGCTTGGAAGGAAATGTGGAGGAGTCTCGTGATTCTCTCTGGGTGGGAGGATGGTGGGCTGCTACCGCAGGGTGACTGGTGTCTCAAACTTGCGGGTTGACAGTGGACAGAGGCCCTGAGGTATGCAGGGTGGCTGGGACCAGGAAATCTTGAAGAGGGGAGTAGCAAAAAGGGAGGCAAAGGTGAGCTGGAGGATGAGACCAATGGCCGGAGAGTGAAAACCACCTGAGCACCACTCCCCAAGTGCCTGCAATTACAGAGGCTGGAGTGTGGCCAAAGCTGGAGTCTCTCACATGAGTAGTGGAGACCCGATCGTTTGAGCTGTCACCTGCTGCCTCCTTGAGTATGCTTAAACAGGAAGCTGGCGTTGGGAGCAGAACTGGGACTTGAACCCCAGGATTCCAACGTGGGATGCAGGTGTCCCAGCCGGCAGCTTAGCTGCTTGAGCAGATGCTCGCCCCGTGTGTTCATGTAATACCTGATGCATACTAGAGAAAGAAGGCACTCTGATTTTTTTTTTTTTCTCCAGGAAATCTATACTTTTGGAAGAGTACTGGGACAAGGGAGCTTTGGATTGGTGATTGAAGCCACAGATAAGGAAACAGAAACTAAGTGGGCAATCAAAAAAGTGAATAAGGAAAAGGTAAGGCTTATTACAGCATCACAGTGAGGGTGCAGTGCCAGTGTGGGGTGGGTAAGGACACCAACACAGCCTGTCTGTGACCCTGAGGGCCAGTACTGGGCTAATCCCCTGAAGTGCAGGTAATTCTCTAGCCTTCTGAGAAGGGACATCTTCTGGAACACAAGTATACAAATGCTATCTGAAGAAAGCAAGTGAAAGAATGAACATAACCAATATAGTCAGATAGATCCTTTTTATCGCACTGAATTGAGAATAAGGGCTGGTTCCCATGGTGCAGGGCCATGAGCTTGAGAAACCTTAGCTAGGAATAAGTCCCGGCACTCTTCTCTGGTGGCATTCTGACATACTTTTCTCCTGTTCTCTGCTTACATTCGATTCCCAGTTTCATCACCATTAACTAATTGTCTGTTCCTCCTACCTGCTCTGTTAATCTGAACCAATTCCCCTCAACTGTCTACTATCCTATTTACTTGTATCTACCACCTATCTTCCTTACTGGATTTCCTTGTGGAGTGAAGAACAGCTGGGCTTCTCTGTAAGATTCAGAGTCTAAGACCTCAGACTTTACACCTGTTTGCTTCATAGACTTTTAAAAAATTTCTGTGCCTGGGAAAGAAATAAAATCATGATGCTATGATGTTTCCCCCTTGGATTTCTGCAGTAAATGTATGTATTATGCTTACAAAATTAAACATCAGACTTTATGTATTCTTTTAAACAAATCCTAGCAAATATCCCTCTAAAGTTTAATATGGTAGCATATCAATTTTAATAAAGCAATTAAGACACTTTGTAGAAAGCTTTAGAATGTAGACTGTAGGTAGCTCCCTAAATGCTCTCTGGGGTAGTATTTACTTTGCTCCTTTGGTGTCATGTAGGGTTGTATAAACAGGATTTAGGATTTTAAAATTAAAAGTTTTTCACAGATTTATTGATGTTGAGAGTTTATAGGACATTACTATAACAAAATAAAATTTATAGTCATTACATGATTTAGATAATGTATATCATTGTATTATATACTGGTCAAACCATTTGGGAAGTGAGGAGAAATAGAATTGAGATAGATATTAGGAAAAATAATGGTAACTTTTTATATCTAATCTAGATGAGAATTCACTCCTGTGGTCCCTATTTCTCTTGATCCTTTGAGTTAAACTTAAAGTGTGCTTTCATCCTACATAGATGGGCCATAGTAGGGTGGTCAGCATCCTGTCCACCTCTAAAATGGCAGAGGTTACAGAGTAGAGATAACTGGGAGCAGAAATGGCCATTGGTAAATTTTAACTGGTTAAACTGCCTGTGATCAGCCCAGGGTTGGGGGCAGGGCCTTTGTTGTCCCTCCGATGGTTAACTAAGGCCCATACATGAACACAGTGCTTATCCTTAAATAAGGGCACTCTCAGTAACAATAGGGGTTATAATCTGTGGTGATGACGTGGTAAACCATCAGTTATCTCACATCCTGAATGAAGTCCTTGTGCTCCCTAGAACATTCATGCCTTTATCTTTTGCTGTCCAGCATGGTAAGGGTCAATGTTAGGAGTGAGTTAAGTTGGGGTTCGGGTGAAGGGAAGGCCTTCCTTCCCCTTCCCGCTCCCCTTTCCTCTCCTGCCTCTTTTGATCTCCTCCTCATCCCTCTATCTTTCCATGTCTCTAATGGAACAAATAGTCATCATTCAAAGGAGAAATTTCTCAAAGCGTAGGAAAAACTACGGAGTAGCTAACTGCTGTGTGAATAGTGTAGGAGTGATATTTGTATGTGAAGTCTGTGTTCTTTCATTGATTAAGGCTGGAAGCTCTGCTGTGAAGTTACTTGAACGGGAGGTGAGCATCCTTAAAAGTGTGAAACATGAACATATCATACATCTGGAACAAGTATTTGAGACACCTAAGGTAAAGCTCTTAAAAGGTGCTGCATTCTGAAAATTGTTATTACTACAAAATGAATATCATTCCATTCTCAGGTAATTCCTTTGGGCCATAGCTGCTCATGTCCTTGGCATGAGTCTGTATACTGGAGATTGATGAGAACATTTTGGAGGTCTTTTATTAATGATTATATAATCAGGTGTCTGAAGATTAGATTCATGTCTTTAGTCATATGTTCTGGGTGGGAGTTAAAGACAAATGTTTAAAGCTGGAACAACTTCATACACAATGAAATAGTGATTTGAACTTCTTTCAACCTGGCTTTCCTTTTCCTTGGTCCTTAGTTTCTCCATCAGAGCCTCTTGGAATAGTGTCATACTTTTCTGTGATTAGCTTCATAATCTAATTGGCATGGGTACATTGGATATATGTTGAAAGTATTTTGTCAACTGTGTCTTAACTATGTGGTTTATCTCCTTTCTCCCCTAGATGTTATCATTCTTCTCTTTAAATCCTATGAATTTTCATTCAGATTTATTCTGAAGCCTGGATTATTTGCCCTGCTGCCCCGAGGTTGTTTAGTAGTTGTGTTTTGGGGGTTTCTCTTTTCAGAGGCAGTACTTGCAAAGGAGTGAGTAGGCCTGTGGATTCTCAGTCACACTGCCTGTACATGTGACTCCTGTATCCACTACTTATTAACTATGGACCATGGACAAGTTATTCAACTTCTCTTTGCCTCAGTTTCATCACTATAAAATAGAATAGATTTATTAATAGTGTGGAACTCATCTGGTTGTGGAAGGATTCAATGGAACAATGGTTATAAAGCATCCATCTCATTAAATGTTATTGTTCTTCTTTTACCTATCTCTATGGTAGTAATAGTCAATTTGGATTTTCTCTTATGCTTGATACAGAAGGTGTACTCAGTAACGATGGAAAAACACATTATCCTTTAGGGGAGCAGTCGATGGCAATGATACCAAAAGTCTTTTTCAGTGTTGTGGTTTCTTTTATTCTCAAATCTTAGAGTGGTTCTGTTCTTTATCATCAGTTTTAAGCAATGGGATTATAATGTGCCTTTGCATAGTTTCCTTTATCTTTCTTCTGCTTAGGGTTCATGAAGTTCCTTGGATCTGTGAGTTTATGGTTTCAAACAAATTCAGGACATTTTTGATCATTATTTCCTAGAATATTGTTGTATGTTTCTCTGTCCCTCTTTGGGAATTCCAAGTACACATATTAGATTGCTGGATGTTATTTATTGACACTCAGTTCATTTTTTTTTTTCAATCATTTTCTCTTCGTTTCATTTATATTGCTTCTGTTGCTGTGTCTGTAGATTTAGCAGTCTCTTTTCTCTAGCATTATATGTGCTGTTAATTTCTTTTAGTGGAAATTTGATTTTTTTCTAACATGAGGAAACTTCAAAAAGTTCATGGAAAATGGAATTAATAGGTGAGTGTATTCTGGTGCAAAAAAATTTAATTCACACAGTTTTCTGATAACATACATTTTTCATGAATGCTCTGGAGATCCCTTGAATATTCCATTGTCTACTTAACATTGTCAGTATTTCCTCCTACTTTTGAATATGATTACAGCAACTTTTAATGTCATTTTCTACCAATTTTTTCATCTGTGTCATTTCTAGGTCAATTTCAATTGATTGATTTTTTTCCTTCATTGTAGATTATATTTCCTTGCGTCTTTGCATGACTTTAGTTTTCTGTTGAATGCCATACATCGTGAATTTCACTTTGTTGGGTGCTGGATAGTTTAATAGTCATATAACTGTTCTTAGTTTTTTTTTCCATACAATTTGTTGAATTCTTTGCTTAGTATAGAGTTAATCTCTGTATAAAGTTAATTAAAAATAGATCTTAGTAAAAAATAAGACAGAATAGGAGAGCAAGGAGGAAGAAGACTAGGAGTATGGGTGGGAGGGCAGGTATAGTAGGAAGAATCACTATGTTCCTAAGTTGTATTTATGAAATTCATGAAGTTTGTATTCCTTAAATAAAATATTTCTTTGGAAAAAATTAAAAAAACTATTTATTGAAAAAATATATAATTATTCTTGAACTTTGTTCTGGGATATAAGTAAGTCATTTGAAGCAGTTTGATCCTTTGCTGCTGGCACCAGTGTTTTTATTTATTTATTTATTTAAGAGGTAGAGTTACAGACAGTGAGAGGGAGAGACAGAGAGAAAGATCTTCCATTTGCTGGTTCACTCCCCAAATGGCCACAGTAGCCGGAGCTGTGCCAATCCAAAGCCAGGAGCCAGGAGCATCTTTTTGACTCAATAGATGATTTGATTCTTCGAATTTCCCAAGTGATGTTCATATGCTTCAGCAGAAGCAGCAAATGTGCAAGAGGCATTTCTTCCATGTTTTCTGACCACCCACACCCACGTAGTCCCTCAGTCTCACCGTGTCTTCCTCCTAGGCGTTTCGCATGTTTTTTCTTCTGTCTCTTGTTTCCATTCTGTGCTCCACATAGACCCTCACTCCTAAGTGTAAGGCATTTCACATATCCCTCTATAAATAGAAGGCAACATACTTCACCTGCAAACCAAATCTGGCCTCCTGCCTGTTTTTGCACAGCTCATAGACTACATCTTCTACATTGCCAAGTGTTTATCAAAAATTAAAGAATAATATTTTATGACATATGAAAATTGTATGAAACACTCATGTTTGAGTCCATAAATAAAGTTTTGTTGTGTTGTTTATGGCTGGTTGCATGCTATAGCAGCAGAGTTGAGTAGCTGAGAAAGAGTCTGGCCCATAACATTTACTATTGGGTTTGGCCTTTATATAAAGAATGGGCTGAGCCCTGCTTCACCTGTTAGAGTATTCATTGAGAAATACAAATTGATAAAATCATACAACTTACCCTTTATCTGCCCTAGATATCAGTTTAAAAATCTTCAGGGCCAGCACTGTGGTGTAGCGGGTAAAGCCACTGCCTGCAGTGTCGGCATCCCTATGGGCACTGGTTTGAGTCCTGGCTGCTCCACTTCCGATCCAGCTCTCTGCTGTGGCCTGGGAAAGCAGTAGAAGATGGCCGAAGTCCTTAGGCTCCTGCACCTGCATTGGAGACCTGGAGGAGGCTCCTGGCTCCTGGCTTTGCATTGGCACAGCTCTGGCTGTTTACTCCCATTTGGGGAGTAAACCAGCGGATGGAAGACCTGTCTCTTTCTCTGCCTCTGCCTCTCTGTAACTCTGCCTTTCAATAAATAAATAAATCCTAAAAAAAAAAAAAATCTTCAGTGGCCCCTTACTGCATATTGAGGGAAAAAAAATGCACACTCTTAGCAAGATGTTCGAGACTCTTTACAATCTGGCACCAACCTGTTCTTTTAAGCCTCACCACTCCTCTCTGCCACCCTATTGTGCTCCCAGCACTGATGCAGCTTGTTATTTTAAAAGCCAGAACTATTTCAGACTTTGGAGTCTTCGCAAATGCCTTGTGCTCTGCTTATTCTTCTCCACGTTCTCTACCCATAATTTTCTATTCCAGAATACAGACCTGGTTTTACTGTGGTTCCTCATATTTACTGATTTATTTGAGAGACAGAGACAGGGAGAGACAGAGAGAGGTTTTCCATCTGTTGGCTCACTCCCTCAATGGCCACAGCTGCCAGTGCTGTTCCAGGCCAAAGCCAGGAGTTAGGAGCTCCACCTGGGTCTCCCATGTGCTTGCAGGAGCCACTTTCTTCCACTGCTTTCCCAAGCCGTTAGCAAGGAACTGGATCAGAAGTGGAGCAGCTGGGACTGGAACCAGCCTCCTTCTGTGATGCCAGCACCACTGACAGAGGCTTAACTTGTTGCACCACAGCCCCAGTAAACCTTCTTTAGGCAGGGGCTGCTGTGCCTCTGGAACCCCCTGGTTTTTTTGAACCATTCGCACTTATCATAGGATATTGTAATTATAAAATGTGCTGAGCTTCAGAAGGGTGAAAAGATTATATGCTTCTTTGTTTCTCTAGTATGCAGTATAATATCTTGTACATAATGGATTATAAATGTTTTTGAGTGCATACATTGATGATTAATATTGTGATCATATATGCAATATGTAACATTTTAAAGATCCCCAGCTATATAATTCGTGCTTCCTCTTTCTCTCTTTCAGAAAATGTACCTTGTGATGGAACTTTGTGAAGATGGAGAACTCAAAAGAATTCTGGAGAAGAAAAAGCATTTCTCAGAGAATGAGACAAGGCGGATCATTCAGAGTCTTGCATCGGCGATAGCGTATCTTCATAACAAGGGTAAGAAGGGGACCATCAAACTAACTGACTCCATGAATGCAGATAGCACTTTCACTTAAGGTTATTGTACTCACGGTTGATAGTTAACGTAAGTGATACCTGCTAATATAGAAGATTGATGTCGTTGCTTTCTGTTATTTTCTTTTTTAACTCTATTTGCACATTTATCTTGTATTTTTTCTTTTTATTTTAAAATATTTCACATAATACAGAAAAGTATAAAGAAGAATTCAATGAGTGCACATAGATTTAACGGTTTTTTAACATTTTGCCATATTTGCTTCATAGGCACACATTATATACGTACATACTATTTTATGAAAGCAGGGGTCTATACATTAATATCACATAATGTGAGATTCATGGCAAAAATCAAAAAATGAAGAAAGAAGAGTATATTATTATGGAAGGGGTATAATTCAATGAAGACTATTTATAAATGTCTGTATACTAAATAATACAGCATCTACACATTTTATATTACATGCAAACTTCCACATCTGAGAGAAAATGTGGTGTTTGTCTTATTTTACTTAGCATAATGATCTTTAATTCCAGCTGTTTTGTTGCAAATGTCAGGATTTCCTTCTTTTTGATGACTGAGTAATCTTCCATTGTGCATATATATCACCTTTTCTCTAGCCAGTCATCCGTTGATAGACATCTAGGTTGATTCCATGTCTTTGCTGCTGTGAATTAAGTGCTACAGTAAACATGGGAGCACAGGACTCTCACATACTGACTTCATTCCCTTAGGATGTGTTCTAAGAGATCGAATAGCTGGGTCATGTGGTGGATTTTTTTTTAAGGAGTCTCCATACTGTTTTCTACAATGGCTATAATTAAACAAGGCAGATCTCTAATTGCATCCTACATAGACAAGGATAAAGTTAGGAACATTTCTGTTTGACAATTTGAAAAGCAGTTAATATTATCAAATCAAAAGCAGACAGATCAATGATAACGGTGAAGTTTTCTAAAACAGTTATATATTAATGACATTAAAAATATGTATATTCTAGCTTTTTAAACTTTTCTTCTTAGAATTTATTTTTAGGGCAGTTTTAGGTTTATGGAACAATTGAGTAGAAGGTTTAGAGAGTCCCACATACCCCTCTGTCCCCTAATATGCATAGCTGCCTCCACTAGCCACCTCTCCACAGTGGTACATTTGTTCCAGTTAATGAACCACCATGGACCTATCACTATCCTCTAAAGTCCATAGTTTACATTAGGGTTCACTCCGCATTCTGTGGGTTTTGAAAGCGTACAGCGATACTTAACCACCATTATAGTGTCATACACAGTAATTTCGCAGTAATTTTAAAATCACATTTAAAAATTGCTCTGATTATTTGAATTGCTTTGCTATTTGGTGCTACTGCTACTGCTTTTTCTCCCTTGTATTCTTTAAGGTTATTTTGGCTTACATGTGACTCTAGAAGCTTTTCATTTTACAGTGGAGAAAATACTTGGTTCCCTATAGGTATGGAGGTGACATGGTTTCATGTGGCAGAGTTGGCACTGAAACCTACTGGTTCATTCAGCAGGTATTTCCTGGCCAGCTACTGCGTTTTGATTGGTCCTAGAGTTACAAAAATGAAAAGATCATTTATGGAAAACAAATCATAATCCACAGGATAATTTCCCTAATGGAGAGCCAAGAACAGTGCGAAGAGCACAGGAGTATTAAGTGCCTTATTTGATTAGGAAAGTCAGGAGAGAATTCACAGAAGAAACCATACTTGGTCTGAGAAACATAAATTCAGAAGAGAAAAGGAGGATTTTCCAGGCAGAGGGAAATAATTTTTGCAACCACTTAATATAATGCTAATGTCAGTCCTCCCATATTAAGCTATAAACTCAATATAATTCCAAGCCAAATCTTAACATTTTTCATAAAACTTGATAAGATTATTCTAAAGTGGGGGAGAAATCACCAAGACAATAATGAAAAAGAACGAGGGAGGCAGCAGGGAGACTTGCTGTGCCAAAGATGAAAACCCGTTATAAAGATGAGTTACTTAAAACTGTGTAGTATTGATGTAAGAAGAGACAGCAGCTATAGGGTTAATAAAAATTCCCAGAACAAAGCCTGGGAATCTTGTAGGAAGCTTCAGATGGTTCAATGTAATTGTCAGTGTAGGGCTCATTCACCTACATTTGTCTAGCAATTAAACACACACACACACACCTTCTTCTTCTTCTTCTTCTTCTTCTTCTTTTTTTTTTTTTTTTTTGGACAGGCAGAGTGGACAGTGAGAGAGAGAGACAGAGAGAAAGGTCTTCCTTTGCCATTGGTTCACCCTCCAATGGCTGGTGCGCTGCGGCCAGCGCACCGCGCTGATCCGAAGGCAGGAGCCAGGTACTTCTCCTGGTCTCCCATGGGGTGCAGGGCCCAAGCACTTGGGCCATCCTCTACTGCACTCCCAGGCCACAGCAGAGAGCTGGCCTGGAAGAGGGGCAACCGGGACAGAATCCGGTGCCCCGACCGGGACTAGAACCCTGTGTGCTGGCGCCACAAGGCGGAGGATTATCCTGTTGAGCCACGGCACCGGCACAACTTCTTAAATCTAGGGAAATAATTGTTACAGCTATGAACTGAATCCGTTATTCGCACAGGAAGTGTTGGGTAAATGATTATCTTGCAGATTGATGAAAATCCTACCTGAGCTCTCTGAAATGCTCAACTGGAGATTTTGTGTCTCAAGGATTTTTTTTTTTTTGGTTGCTTATTTCAATATACAGAGAGAGGAGAGATGTGTGTTGATGTTATAGAGAAGTATACTGAAGTACATATAGTTGGTATATGTGTGTACATACACGTAAGTTACAGAGTGTTACAGTGTTAAAACGTTTATGTTGATAGTAGCATATGCCTAGAAATAAAGAAGTACTCTTCTGTTCGAGGACCTGAGGGTATGGGAAACCTTGCTGGGCTCTGGGTAGATGCTACCTGGTAATACATAACTTTGAATGGGCTCCATCTGCACATTCACCAGGCCACACTTGAAGCTGGTTGGGGCAACAGGGGAATGAGTATAGATGAGGAAGTCAAAGAAAATGGTTCCTTAAGGTTAGTAATGCAGGAAAGAGGTTTGCGAATGAAGAACAGAATGGAGCAGATTTACACTTGGCCTCCTTAAATTGTTCAGCAGTGGGTATGTATTAAATAGATGTATTTGTCCTATTTGTTGTCTTCTCTATTTTTTCATTATTCATTTCATTTGAATTGTTTATTTCCTTGGTAGATATAGTACATAGAGATCTAAAACTGGAAAATATAATGGTTAAAAGCAGCTTTATTGATGCCAACAATGAAATAAACTTAAATATAAAGGTAAGATATTAGAATGAGTGATAACTATTTGCCTGTAAGCAGTTTGATAGCAGAGTGGCAAAGTATAACCTCTTTTTACATACATTTTGGTAGCTTTTGAGCAGCCAAAAAATAAGTAACTTGTGATTAAAAAATAAAAATTTCATAAAAGAGGTTGTAACTGACAAGAATAATTTTACAAGTTAAATGTTGCTAATGAATGTGTTTTTTTAAGTATGTATTCATTTGGATAGTTCCAAATCATTATTTAATAGCAAGCAAACAGATGCTCTGAAGTCTAATTAATTTCAGAATTATGCCTGGCAATTTAATGTAAATGCACTACAGATTTAGAGAAAAACACACCTTCACTGTCTTTTGACACTAAATTAATTCTAAAGATTTTATTTCTCATTGAAGATTTTCCCGAGTGTTAATATTTATGTCCTAAGCACAATTAATATGCCTGGTATTTATTCTTGAAGTTTTTTTTAATATTGAATACATGCTGGGATACATTGTTTATTATCACTTTAATAGTAGTTGCTTTCAAAATATATGAATGTGTTAATTTAGGAATAAAGTGTTGTTTGAGAATAACTCACTCTGTTGCAGGAATTAAATCCCCCTGTATTATAAATAGGTTTGACAGAATTGTTGGTTTACACAAGTGAATGTTCTTAAATAGTCTCATTGTGAACTCTTTGAGAGCACTGTTGGTTCCTGGAATAGTGTCTGAAGCCTAGAATGTGTCCAGTTAATATTTGTTGAATGAGGGGATAGATGTTCCACAAAGAACTAACTTAAATATAAAACTAAAAATATTTGATATTTGTGTAGATTTTCTGTAGGGAAAATTCCATGTCATAGGGCTCTAAGCGAGATGTTTGGGAAAACTGGAGAAATTGATTCACCTACCTAGAAAAATATTAATAGGAACATTTTCTTACTCTGTAAACACTGGAAACTTTGTATTCAGTGTGTGTGGACCAAGCCCCTTTATTTGGTTGTATGATCAATAAATGTGCCTGTTTTTCTGCTTTTAGCTCAAGAGTGTTTCAACTTGGGAAACGCAACAAAGGGCACATGATGAATATTTAATAAGCACATGTTTAGTGACCAAGGTTTAGAACTGAGCAGGAAGACAGCAGTTACACAAGCAGCTACACTGTGCTTTTGCTGGTTTTTCCTGTTAATTTGCTTTGCATAGTTCTTAATAGTGTAGTAATTGTTTTAATTAGTATACTCTTGAAACACAAAGGAAATAGTATGGAAAAGATGTTTACCAATTATGAATAATTGTAAAAAGGAGAGTGTCAGTGAGTGCTGATAAGGATAATTATTTGCATTTATAATAGTGCTTTAAACTGGAACATAACTTGAGTTTCAGGAAAAAAAAAAAAGATAAGTATGGTAAGGCCAGAATGTATTTTATAGTGAAAGAAGTTTTTTAAAAGCAACTTTGTTATCTGGAAAAGTTAAATGCCTTCTTTCAAGATGCAACTTCCTGTTTTGAACTGGTGAATTTAATTAGAGAAAAGCAGGAATAATCAGCATCATGGGTTTTCTCTCAAGATTTGAGAAACCAAGCTTCTCTTCACCAGGTTTCCCCTCCACACGGAGGTTGTTGGGGGTGGGGGTGGGGTGGGGATGGGGAGTAAGGTCCTTATTAGCATACAAGTAAGTTCCTCCTGTGCCCACCAGGAGCCCTGAAGTTAAATGCAATTACAATGTGGTTAAAGTCCCCTCTTCAGAATGAGTGGGCTGTGGCACAGGAAAACCAGTGACTGAATTTCTTCTCCCAGGTGACTGATTTTGGCTTGGCAGTGAAGAAGCAAGGCAGGAGTGAAGCCATGATGCAGACCACATGTGGGACTCCAATCTACATGGGTAAGTTAGATATCTGAGAATGGTTTTTTAAGTAGTAGAACAATTAATACAGATTACAACCTCAACGATTTGATTTTGCTATGATGAATTAATGACCCTTGATTGAGCTAATTTTTCTCTTCTTTGGTCAAATAATTTCATTTGTTCTAGCGTTTTTCTCATAGTTTGTACCTTCAAAGATTTTTGGAATTTTTGTTATTTTTTTGGCATCTTCTTCTTCTTTTTGTTAATGGACCAAATTCTAGTTTCATTTATTTGAAAGGTAGAGCTACAGAGAGATAGAAAGAGAGACAAAAAGATGTTAGATTTGCTGGTTCACTCCCCAAATGGCCATGGTGGTCAGGGTTGGGCCTGGGGCTCCATCTAGGTCTCCCACATGGATAGCAGGAGTCCCTGCACTTGGGCCTTCTTTTGCTGCAGTCTCAGGCATCTTAGCAGGAAACTGGATCAGAAGTGGTGCAGCAGGGACTCAAATAGCCACCACAGACAATAGGATGTCTGCATCACAGACTGCCGCTTAACCCACTGATGCTGGGTTAATTAAATTTTAATTTCCATATATTGACTAAGTATTATTTCTTACCCCCAGTAAAGTAATTTCTAGTAGAAGCTTAGCAAGCAATTTTGAACTGTCATATATCAACAACTTATGGAAACATTTACCAAAATCCTGGCCTCTGTTCCCTTATGTTACTGAGTAGCTATTGAATGGATATGCCACCTTCAGTCTCTCCACTGCTTAGCCAATGCACATGTGGATTGTTTCTAGTTTGGGGCTATTATGAATAATGTTGCTATGAACATGCATGCACAAGCCTTTATGAGGAAATGTGGTTTAATTTTTCTTATACATTTGGGTCATATGTTAACAATGAAATTGCTGGGTCTTACATTACATATATGTTTAGCTTTTTAAGGTACTACCAACTGTTTGCCAAAGTGACTCTTACCTCCTCACCAGCAGTGTATGGGGTCATAGTTTCTCCACACCCTCGACAGCTCTGGATAGCACTCTTTTCAGTTATCATCACTGTAATGAACATGGGTTGGTCTCTCGTGGTTTTCAGTTTGCATTTCCTTATTTATTTTAAAGATGTTGGGTCCGGCACAGTGGCATAGTAGGTTAAACCTCAACTAGTGGCACTGGCATCCCATATGGGCACTGGTTCTGGTCCCAGCTGTTTCACTCCCCATCCAGCTCTCTGCTAATGGCCTGAGAAAGCAGTGGAAGATGGTCCAAGTTCTTGGGCCTCTGAATTCACATGGGAGACCCCGAAAAAGTTCCTGGCTTCAGATCAGCCTAGCTCTCTCCATTGTGGCCATTTAGGGAATGAACCAGTGGATGGAAGACCTATCCCTCTCTGTGTCCCCCTCTCTGTCTGTAGTTCTGCCTCTCAAATAAATAAATAAATCTTAAAAAAATGTGGAGTACCTGTTCTTGTACTTGTCATTTGTGTATTTTTTCTATTGAAATGTCTACTCAAATTTTTGCTTATTGAGATGATCATATTTTTTCTTTAAGTTTATTAATGAAATGATTATATTACTAAAGTAAATGTCAAACTTTCCTTGAACCTGTGGATTTTAATCCCACTTGGTTTCATATGCATCTTTATTCAGTCTGTTTACTTTATTGAGAAATTTGATTGCAGCTTATTTCTGTTTTTTGTGCTGCCTGTGTCTTTTTTTTTTTTTTGACAGGCAGAGTGGACAGTGAGAGAGAGAGAGACAGAGAGAAAGGTCTTCCTTTGCCGTTGGTTCACCCTCCAATGGCCGCCGCGGCCGGCGCGCTGCGGCCGGCGCACCGCGCTGATCCGATGGCAGGAGCCAGGAGCCAGGTGCTTTTCCTGGTCTCCCATGGGGTGCAGGGCCCAAGCACCTGGGCCATCCTCCACTGCACTCCCTGGCCACAGCAGAGGGCTGGCCTGGAAGAGGGGCAACCGGGACAGAATCCGGCGCCCCGACCGGGACTAGAACCCGGTGTGCCGGCGCCGCTAGGCGGAGGATTAGCCTAGTGAGCCGCGGCGCCGGCCCTGCCTGTGTCTTTTTTGATGTTACAGTTATGGTAGCCTCATTTAAAAAACAAACAATTTTCACTTTTTATATGTTCATGAACGTTTTGAATAATAGACATTATCTATTAATGGTTTGGAATTTCCTCTTAAAATTGTTTGGTCCTGATACTATTTGGGGAGTACAGTTTCTATTGTATTTTCAATTTATAATAGGTTATTCACATTTTCTATATCTTGAATCATTGTGATAATTTATACTTTTCTAGAAAATTTTCCATCTTGCTGAGATTTGGTTTTTTGTATTCACTTATAATTAATTCTGTGGTTATATCCCCCTATTAATCCCTGATTTTCTCAAAAAGATGATATGATATGAAATTAACAGTATAACCCCTGAAGTCACCTAACTTAGGATTACAGTTCTACACTTGCTATCTGCTTTCGTCACAATTTATACATCTGTTTGATTGCGATTTATGCCAAAAATTTTTTGAAGGCTTACTTTGTATCAGATAGGAATTGGGAATACAACAGCAGAAAAAACATAAACATGGTTTGCCTTAATGTAACAAACAGGAAAGTGCATGGTGTGTTAGAGAGAGTGCTAAGCATGGAAAATTAAAAAGGAGGGGGGATAGGAAGTATTTAGAGAATAATGATGTCTTTCTTATCAGATTGATATGAGAATTAGATAAGAAAATAGAAAGGGCATTGACATGATGCCTGGTACTTAGTACCCAATTTTAGGCCTTTGCTGTAAGAACATTATTGTTTTTCTTGATGGAGTTTGTTAGCAGTTAGAATAATATTGGGCTTTTCAAGAACTAGCTCATGTCTTATGTTGATTCTTTCCCTATCAATTTCTACTTTTCTGTTTCTGAATTTCTTTTTTTCCACTTCCTTTTAAATTATTTTTTTAACTTTCTACTTTAAATTCTTGTTTGTCTCCAGTCATATCTTAAATGCATTTAAGGCTGTGTGTTTTCCTGTGAGTACTTTGAGTATTTCCTTTGTCATACAGTGTTCTGGTTGTGATCCATCTCTTAATACACTATGATTTTAGTTTTAGTCTTATTCTTTAATCAAAGTATTATTTAAAAGTAGATTTAAGACTTTACCCAGGTGGTTGGAATATGTCTGGTGCTCATGTAAAGGTGGGTTAGTCTTTCTAGCCGTTTGGGATTTCTGTCTTGTTTTCTTCATCATAATGGGTGAGTATGTCATAAAAGTTTAAAACTTTTAGGAATTTCATTTGTGATGAACACATGATCAATTCTTGCAAATGTTGCATTGGATATTTGAAAAGTGTATGTTCCTGGTTTCTTGAGCATACATATTTCTCTGTGTGTGCTTATTAAATCAAATATGAAACCTGTGTGGTTCAGATTTTCCATATTATTTTTGCTTACTGCTTCTCTTGATCTCTAAAAAAGAGTTATGAAATTTATCCACTAAGATGATACTTAGTTTCTTTTTGTATTTCAAGTAGATTTTTAGAAGGTTTTTATTTATTTATTTGAGAGGTAGAGTTACAGATAGTGAGAGGGAAAGACAGAGAGAGAGGTCTTCCATCTGCTGGTTCCCTCCCCAAATGGCCGCAATGGCTGGAGCTGCACCGATCTGAGGCCAGGAGCCAGGTGTTCCTTGCAGGTGCAGGGGCCCAAGCACTTGGGCCATCTTCTACTGTTTTCCCAGGCCACAGCAGAGCTGGATTGGAAGAGGAGCAGCCGGGACTAGAACTAGTGCCCAAATGGGATGCTGGCGCTGCAGGCGGAGGATTAACCTACTGTGCCATGGTGCCAGCCCCTCAAGTAGACTTGTTAAAAAATATTTTATAGAACTATAATTTACATACCATGAAGTATATACATTTTACATGTAAAGTTATGTGAGTTTTGACAGATTACACCTGTGTAATCACCACCCCAGTGGAGATAGCAAACATTACTATCACCCCAGAAAGTTCCTTAGAGTCCCTTTCAAATCAATCCCTCACTTAAACCAAACCACTGATAATTTCTGTCACCACACTTCAGTTTTGCATGTCTAAAAGTTTATATCATCTGAATGGTCTGTCTGTCTTTTGTGTCTGTCTTCTGTTTCACATGATGAATTTGAGACTTGTCCACGTTGTTGTATATGTAGTTTATTCATTTTTATTGCTGAGAAGTATTTTTTTTTTTTGCCTGCTTGATGCATAAAGTGCTGAAATTGTTTTGTCTTATTTGGGAAAAGGCTGCTTTAGATTCTGTTCATACTCCTCTGTTGGCAAAAGACATCTGGTCTGTAGTTACATAGGGAAAATATATCCAAGCACCCTGAGTTTTATGCCTGCTTATTAGTTGTCTACACTGATAACAAGTGAGAGAACAAGAGAGAAGACAGATGGTTTGTGGAGCTTTGCTGACTTCCTAAATGGCTCCTTGGCACAGTTATTCTGGCTTCTGCCTCCTTATGAGGGCTGGAATGACAGTACAAGTAGAGATGCTCCTGATAATTAAGAAGATTCTGAAAGAGGGAAAAGTAGGAATTCCTTGCCCCTGCTGTGTGATGCACCAGTATGGAGATCCTTCATTCAGTCTAGTCAGAGAATTAGACCCTGCCACGGAGGCGTTGCCTTAGAATAACGTAAACTTTAATGATTTAGTAGCTGAAGACTTTAAGTAGAGTTAAAGAATACGAATAGTTGCTTAAAGGGAAATATTAATTAGCAACTTTTCAATCATTTGGAGACAAAGGACTCAGTTTGTTAATGATAGGTTAACCTTTTCTCATTTTCTTTATTCTGTTTACCTTTTGACCTCTTTTGGTTGCTGTACCTTTAACAATAGGCAGAGGGGGAAAGAGGAAATAAAATCCATTTTCTGTGACTAGTTATTATAAACGATGTGTGTGTGCGCGTGTGTAGTTGTGTGTAAGGTGTGAGGGGGGATATTGAAACTGTGTTCTAAAATAAAGACCTGGAGCTGCCCATTGTGTAGAGGAGGCACTCTGGCTGCGAGTCTTCAGTCACGTATCTGAACCTTAGTTTCTCACGGGCACAGGGGATCAAATGTCTCATCTATTCCTAATCTAATTTATGCAAATTGCTGTATGAATATTTTAAAGTTCTATTGAAACATATACAAATCTTTTTATGTTTGTAACTTTTTTTTTTTTTTGACAGGCAGAGTGGACAGTGAGAGAGAGAGACAGAGAGAAAGGTCTTCCTTTGCCGTTGGTTCACCCTCCAATGGCCGCCGCGGCCAGCGCGCTGCGGCCGGCGCACCGCGCTGATCCGATGGCAGGAGCCAGGAGCCAGGTGCTTTTCCTGGTCTCCCATGGGGTGCAGGGCCCAAGCACCTGGGCCATCCTCCACTGCACTCCCTGGCCACAGCAGAGGGCTGGCCTGGAAGAGGGGCAACCGGGACAGAATCCGGCGCCCCGACCGGGACTAGAACCCGGTGTGCCGGCGCCGCTAGGCGGAGGATTAGCCTAGTGAGCCGCGGCGCCGGCCCTTATGTTTGGCTGATAGATCTGCACACGCGTGATCGAAATTTAGACTGCATTCCAGACTGTCCTGGCTTCTGCTTTTCGCAGGCCATTTCTGTCTCTATCACGGAGGCGTGGAGTACAGGACCTAAAAGGCACATGTGGACAGCTGAGTGGGCTTCATTCTCTGGCATCTGAATGACCTCAGTGCCCAGGACATTTACCCCTACCAAGATATTAGTTCAGTCCAGGACAGCCACTGGTCACTTGTTGCCGGGCCACTAGGAAACATCCCTTCTACTAAAAGGAAAAGGAAAACGAAAAGGCAACAAAGTTTAACACAGTGTAATCGTTCCTGGGAAATAATAGCTGTCCATTGCAACTGCAGAATAATGGCTGACAACAGGTTTTCTAAGGTAT